TATATATATAAAATTGTTTGTTTTTGAAACAGAGTCGAGCTCATTACATAGACCAGGCTGGCCTTAATCTCAGTGAGATCCACCTGGCTCTGCCTCATGAGTGCTGAGTTTAAAAATGTGTGCCACCACGCCTGGGCCAGTGTGATATATCTCACAACACACAGTGAGTTTCTAAGCTACTTAAATGGAAAGGACCAGTTAGGATTTGCTTATTAAAGAAGTTCATGATGAGGGGCTTCTAGAAAAAAAAATTGTTGAATTCATTTCACTGGTTTAAGACATTTCTTTCAGAGGACTCATTTCTTCAGTTGGAAATTTCAGAATAAAATGGAATTCCTTTTTCTCTTTTTAAAATATGACATACTCATATATTATATATTCCATTAATATATAATCCACTTAAAATTTTAAGTGTTTAAGTAGACATTTAGAAAATCTCTATGTTACCTTTGAGTCATGGGGGGGAAGATTAATAAGTGTTGAACTGAAAACATGTTTTTAATTATTAGAGTTAATAACTTTAATAGTCAAAAATACAGTATCTTAGTTGTGAGCAAAAATGAACCTTAAATTTTCAAGAAAAGTTCTGTGGAGACAAAAATAAACAGTCACGAGTCCCTCTGTTCCATACACTAACTATTTGGCTTTTTACCCTACATATAACATGAAGGACTTTTGCATAAGTCATTTATCCAGACTTTCACATGTGAGTACCTCATTCCTGATATCATGAGAATGCTTCAGGGAAGCTACCCAAAATGCTGGTTATAGGGGGCTAGAAAGATGGCTCAGTGGTTAAAAGTATGGACTGCTCTTCCAGAAGACCTAGGTTCAGTTCCCAGCATCCACATCAAGTGATTTACAATTGCCTGTAACTCCAGCTCCAGGGAATCTGAAACCTTCTTCTGGCCTCCAAGGGCACTGCACTCATGTGCACAAAATCATACCTAATACACACATACAAAGATAATTAGAAATTAAAATTTAAAAATAAAAAAATGTAAACTGGTCAACATGCAGAGAATAAGAGACTGTAGAGTGTTCAAGTTTAAATGAAAATCTAAATCATACCTCTCCCCCAATGTTCAGGGATCATCACTGAAGAGGGGGTGGAAAGATGATAAGACCAGGAGGTAGTGGACATGTGCAGCTAAACCTTATTTGCTGGACATGACAGCCATTGTTCACAAACTCACAGCAGCCATGTCTATATGCATAAGATTCACAGGAGATCAAGCCAGTCCAAGTCCCAGCGTGGCTGAGGAGCTATTGGTGGCTGTTGGGGGGAGGGGGAGTCAGTTTTCTTGAGGGATGCGTCCTCTGCAAGGCTACCCATGCTCCAGTAAATGGCCCTATACCCATCACATACAGGCAGCACTAAGTGGACACAGTGGATTTAAGAGAGAGGAATACAGAACAAGAAAGCATGAAGTTGGGAGGAAAAAGTGTTAGTGGGGGCTGGGGAAGAACTGAAGGGGAGGGAATGGGGTGGAGCTGATCAAAACATTATATGCATGTATTAATTTCTCAATAATTAAAAAAATTTAAAGCTGGTTATGAGATACGTTTTTATGATAACTAAATTTAAGAGAGTATATTTAAAATATTTTTGTAAAAAACTAGCAGCTGGGGGCTGGAGAGATGGCTCAGGGGTTAAGAGCACTGGCTGTTCTTGTTGGGTTCACATCCCAGTACCTACACAGAGGCAATCAACCATCTGTAACAGCAATTCCAGGGGATCCGATGCCTTCTGATTTCTGTGGGCACTGTACAACATGGGTGCACTTACACATATACATGCATCACATAAAATAAAAATAACAAAAATAATTTTTAAAAATCTAGCAGCTATTAAGCTATAAAACTCACTACTTATAGAGCTATAACCAAATGCAAAAGCAGAATATTTTTCAAGTTCTTCCAGAAAATCTGGATAATTCCTTCCTTCAACAGTAAATATATACTCTAGCCTACACTTTCCTATGTTAATGACAATACAAGGCTCTGTTACTAAAGGTTTAAACAAACACAAGAACAAAATAGTTACTATCTCAAACATTCAATTAACAGAGGATTGCTAATACATATTTCTGGAGATACTTAAGTTTTCTTTGGCTATATGTTATATAAAATAGCAAGATCATACCTCCCTCAGCAGGTTCGTGATATACTTCACATGTAAAAATTCAGGAGTCTTGTCTAAATCCAGTGAGGACCTTCCTTTAATCTCCTTTTCAAAATCTTCCTTGTAAATTTTCTGTTAAATAAGACCATATAATTTTTCAGCATAGGAAATTCTAGTCATTATGGAAAAGCCATGAGAACAAGATTTCATAGCGTGAAACTGATGTTTTCTTATATAATTCTACCATCTCAGAGTCTTAACAAGAGAAAAATAATTCCAACTTCATCCTAAATTTCAGGATTCTACCAAAAAGAGCAGAATCATCAACTAGCATCCCCTTATTCTAAGTGAAGGTGGGGACCTCTTCAAGGACTGTGATTGACATCACTCCATTTTGGGGTAAGAACAGGACTGGCTTTCTGATTGGATCATCTGATTAGTTCACACAAAAGGAAGTTTTGTTCACCCAATGGAAGAAAATCTAGTGGTGTAAAAGTCAGTTCAAACTGAAGTCAGGACCCCACTACTCTCTAGTCGGTCTTCCGTGAGCCCAGGAAATACCAATTTTAAAACGCAATGAAGAGAATGAGAAGGGCTGATGCTATTGCTTGGTGATTTGGGCACTAAGATCATTTCTTTACCATTTACAGATTTTGATATGGGCCAAGTTGAACTGTGAGGATAACCTTGCTATAAATCTGATAGATCCTTCGGTAGGTAAGAATTCCTAATGGTAGCTGGGGTGCAACTCAGACATAACACACTTGCCAAGCACACGCGAGGCCCTGAATTTACATCAAGAAATGAAGCCTGAGATGTTGAAGGTGATACTGGGGGACTGGCAAGCTGAATCCGTGATAACCTTTGTCTCTCAGGCCTGCTTGGACACCCTTGGCTTTGACTCCATAAATTCTAGCATCTGAGGTACATATTTGAATATCAATGATACCCATGTTTTTTATTATAAAGATAGACTTTTTGAATCATACAACTCTCTTATTCATATGAAATATTTACTAAACAAGAGCCAGATTTTACCAGTCAAATATTTTATTCAAATTACATCATAAAGATGTTAAAATGAATAAATTGTGCCTCAGATGGTTATTCATGCAGAATGAGAAGCTATTTGCAGGTTCGTTATGCATTTATTACAAAGAAAGGTAATTTTGTAAATAAATAAATTCTCCAAACCAAGAGGGAGAACAAGAGAAATCCATGAGCTCTTAGTTCCCATCGTGTTGTGTACAGCTGCCCAACAAACACCAGCTCAGCTGTGAGGAACGGATACGTAGATGGTCTAGCTAAGAAGCTACAGAGAGCACTCTGAATTAAAGAATCATAGATATACCAAAAAACAGTCATGATAAACTGTCGTTGCACATGTGAAAATAATCAAGATAACATGGCTACATGCTTAAATCTAGGGCATTTCTAGGTAAAAAGGAATCTTTGCAAAGTGAAATAGAATATTAATATGTAGTTATTTATATTGGCTATTTCACTTCAAAAGGTATTTCCCTAGGGAAAAAAAATCACTGCAGTAAGTCATTAAGAAAGGTTGGTTTTGACTGCACCCAGTGTATGGCCCAAGAAAACCCAAACTCGGCACGCTCTGTGCTAGGGAGAGACATCTGTGAAAGCAGAGGAAGGGATTTCTTTCTAAGCGATTTCCCTTAGAAAACACAGATTAAACCTACATCTGGCACTGGAAGAAAAGGAGATATTTATGGTTAAAGGCTGGAGCGAAGAAAGGAATGGCTTTCTTTGCAATCGGGCTTTTTCTGATACCGAGTACCTCAAGGCATACTAGCCGTAGCACTGAGGAATCAAAGCTGCCTCTAAGACAGAGGCTTTCTGTGGACCTCCTTCATTCTTTCTATATTCAGAGGCACTTTTTGCATTAGGCTTTTTGAAAATTTTTAGATGTTTATGATTTAAAAGCTAGAGCTTTTTAAATATTAATCTAGTCCAAAGAGATTTCCTAGTGGGAGGCATCAATCCCATCAATCCTTGCTGAACCTAGGCAAAACTGAAATCCCTGAAGAAAAAAAAAAAATCTAATCTTTGCTGGCTATAGGTGAAGGGGAAATGTGCCTCACTAAAGAAGCAACTCGGGTGAAGAAAACGAGAGAGACTATTCTGAAAGACAAGAGGCTAAAATCCTAACTCTCAAAATTACTATTATTTAGAATTCAAAAACAAGATCTCAAAAGGTAGTAATCACGAATCGTGAGGTGCAGGTTTGTTGGTGAGAAGAAAGTTAGACTGCTAGAGTATAAAAATTCAAGATGATCACAGGGGCAGAATGAGAGTTGTCAACTGGAGTTTCTCTGTGGCTGAGGATGGCAGGAGAGAGGAGCAGGGAGATAGGGAGCTGAGGAGGCATGTGGAGGCTGTGGGAAGGTGCATAGAGTCCTGGGGGCACGGAGCTGTGAGGAGGCTGTGAGGAAGCCACTAGAGGCTGTAAAGAGGCCAGGTGAGGCTGTGAGAAGGTGGGGAGAAAGCTGTGAGGGGACTATGGAGGACATGGTGAGCCACAGGGAGCTCCTTGGGGTCTGGGAGGAGGCTGGATAGAGGCCATGTGGAGGCTGGGTGCCATTGGGGATCCAGGGGGAGGCTGTAGTAGGCCATAAGGAGGCCATGGGGAATCCATCAGGGGCTGAAGGCACACTGAGGAGGACTTGTGGAAGCCATGGGGAGACTCTGAAGAGGCTGCTGAAGGATTGGAGGTGGGGCTGAAGGAACTGCAGGGCAACCTCTGAGGAGGTTGTGGGGAGGCCATGGGGAGGTTGTGAGACCATGGTGATGATGAGAATGAAGCTATCTTCAGATGTTGCTTTCAGAAAACAAAGGATCTTTGATCTCTGTGTCCGCTGGTAAACATGGATTCAACAATTTCACATAGCGTTAAACTTCAGAGAACCCATGGAGTAAGACAGCTTGTGGAAGCCAAAGCTTTTCCCTGGGTTGTGGGCCACTGATAATAGCTGCGTAATTCCTATAAAATGGGGCAAGTCACTGAAAATCCAATTCTAGCTCACATACAATGAGCACTGCAGTCAAGGACAATAAATGGAGGACATAAAAATGCTTTAAGTTGAGAACTGAGCTTCAAGTATGATTTGTCCTGTTAATTTTAAGTTTTAACGGGACTTCTGAACTTGGACCAAGTTTACCAGCTCTGCCAAGTCAGTTAAAATACCTCCTTTCATTATCATAGATCTAAGATTCCTTTCTCAAATTCACATTCATTGACTTAAGAAGATATGACTTGAAATGGATAATTCTTCTCTCTCTGGCTTAAAGAAGAAATTAACCAAGCTTGTCAAGCCGTAATAATGTCTGAGGGACTGTCACCCAAAATGATGAACTATAGCACCTACACAAAGCAAATGGCAAACCAAAACGCAACACTCCATAACTAGCTGACACCCTGGCCCATTGTTTCTTTCCCTCCAGAGTAACAGCCCATTTGTACCCACGGAATGCGGGTGTTGATTCTAGACAAAACTTTGTGTGCCTGATGCTCAAAAACAGAAAAAAGCAGAACTCTCCTGCTCAGAGAAAACCCAGTCTGGGGAGTATCTGGCTGTTCCACAAAACAAAAACACTCAACGATCTACTGGGGGAAAATAAGGATCAATTCAATATGCTTATAGGAAAAAGACAGGAAGTATGATTTCAACCAGGTCCTAAAACACTGGTGGCCTTTACCAGACATGTGGCTTTATTTAAGACAGTCCATTTCTGTGGCTTATAAACTTAGCGATCATATTCTCCTCATACGCTGCCATGCCTTACCTTGCAAATTAAATGAGCTGATGTAGGTAAGGCCCTTAACAAGGTACTAGGCATGAAATAAGGATTTAACAAGTGTTGGTTCTATTGCTGTTGTAGAGGAGGGAAGAAGGAAGCAAAGCAACCAGTTCTATTTTAAATTAGCTTTTAGATGCTCATAGCTTTACACAGATTTGAAAGTGTTGGTTTTTGTCATGTTCAGTTTGAAAAAGTGTTGCCTATATAATCCTCGTATGTGAGAGCTCAGGAAAGCCAAGCCGTCAAATGGCAAAACTCTGGCAGTGAGGGACTGGGTCTAGAACATGGGTCCCCATCTGTCTCACAGTGTCATGCTGGGTTTACAACATGGATCCCCAAGTCTGTCCCACAGTGCCATGCTGGGTCTAGAACATGGGTTCCAACTCTTCCCCACAGAACCGTGTTGTGTCTAGAACACGGCTCCCTGAGCCCACCACACTCACTGCATACCGATTCTCTCCAAGTGAGAAAACATCAAGAATACGCTGAATAATTAACAGCAAGCCCAGTGACCTACCTCACTCTGTATCTTCTGAGCTTCCTTTGAGGACTGATATGATGGCGTCTCGACGAATTCAAGCATGGACTTTCCCTTATTTTTCTCATATTCTTCTCTGTATTTTACCTTCATTAAAAAATATTAAAAGTATATAAAAACAAGGGCTGGTTGGTGTATTGCTCAATAGTAGAGCACATTCTTAGCAAGGGTAAGCTCTTGAGTTCAATCCCCAACACCCCCTCACCCCCAAAAAATAAATGAAAAGCATATAAAACCCAAAGCCTTTGTATAGAGCCAAGTATAATAAATGTATCCAAAATTAATCATTTTCTTTTCTAAAATCAAACTACTCTGACTGTTTAGAGCGATGGCTGGTCCCCTAGACTTAGTGACACGTGACAAAAGTAATGGGCAATATATAAAATCTTTAAAGGATAAAATTTGATGTTTTTTCAACCTAATAAACCACAGGTATTTAGTGTCATGGGACACTAAATAAGGTGTTGTATAGAGGACTAATAAAGTATTTTGTCACCTAACCAGAATATGTAGACATACCAAATACATGGGGTTATTTATATATGTACTCACACCACACACTAATAGAGGAAGGGGCAGCTGGGACTCTCAGTGGTGCTCCCCATATCTACTAAAAATCATGAACTGATAAAAAACACAGATGTGATCATCTTTCTGTCAAAAGAGGGGAAGGGAAATGTTCTCTGGAACTGCTGAGTCCTCCCATAAACAGTAAATAAAACATACATAGTTTTCTTCCAATTTATTATCCACTATTTAATAATGTGTTATGAATTATTTGCATCAATTAAAATTAGTTTCTATCTCTTTTCTGTTTATAAAATGAGGGGTTTTTCTACTTTTGTTTTCGTTTTTCCTGTTTATATGTCTATATATATAAATTTGCATGGGGTGTATACACATGTGTGTGTGCAGGCACATGTGCCTGTGCGTGTGCTGTAAAGGCCAGAGGAGGATGTCGGGGGTCCTGCTCCATCACTCTCTGTCTTATCCCCTTGAGACGGAGGCTCTTTCTAGACCTGGATCTAGTCGGTGGCCAGCAAACCCCCACAACGCTTGTCTCCACGGTGCTGGGCTCACAGGTACATGCTACCACTCCAAGCCTTTTACCTGGGTTCTGGAGATCTGAACTCAAGTCCCCACTACTTATCCAGCAAGAACTCTTACTCACTGAGCTAACTCTCAAACTCAATGAGTGCCATTTCTTGAAAACAAGAACTAAAATTGTATGTAATCAGAGCAGTTGACTTTTTAGCAATAGATCCTTTAAATTGGGTGCATAGAAAAGCTTTGATCATTACTCACGTTATTCATAAATGCATTTTCATTAAAATTCTTGGGCTTTATAATTGTGAGATTATTTAAGTTGTATAATAATACTAATAGCTCAACCCCAAAGAAATTTTCAAATCTTAGAACTTTGTAATGACAGGAAATAAATTTTGAAACACTTATTTGTAGATAGAGTTTTATTACAGAAAAGTTCCATTAATAGGAAAAGTGTTAGAATATAAAAGTGTTAGAATATTCTAACACATACATTAGAATAATGTAGGAAAATGCAGAAGTAAGAATGTAACTGGGCACAGTGATGCACATCTGCAAATCCAACAGTTCAGGAGGGTCACGAGTCAAGATTATCTTGATCTACATAGTGAGATCTACATAGTGAGTTCAAGCAAGGCAGGGCCACAGAGTGAGACTTTAACTTACGGAGGGGGCAGGAGAGGCTTTCACACATTAAGTGGGAGAAGAGTAGTTTTCAGCATTAACTTGCCACAGTCTAGAAGGCCTGGGAAGAGTCTCAGTGAGGGATTGTCTAGGTCAGGGTGACCTAGGGGTGACCTAGGAGTATGCCTGTGGGGACCTGTCTTGATTATGTTAATGTGGGTGGCATCATTTCTTAGATTTGCATCTTGGACTATATGGAAAAGGAGAAAGAGCACTGAGCACAGATGCGTGCATGAATTCATCACTCTCTGGTCTTGATTGTGGATATAACATGACCAGCTGCTTCGGGTTCCTGCCACCGCCCGACTCCCCACAATCATGGGCTGTGACCTGGAACTGCTTTTGTTGGGGTATTTTATCACAGCAACAGGACAGGAAACTAACAGAGGAGGTCAGTTCAAATCACTATGGAACTTATGTTCCACAGAATACATTTGAAAGAGTCATGTAAAATAAAAAACTTTGTCTTTTTTTTTTTTTGAGGCAGGGTCTTCCTGTAGCTACAGTTGGCCTGGAATTCACTATGTAGACCAGGCTAGCCTCCATCTCACAGAGATCCACTTGCCTCTGCCTCCCAAGTGCTGGGATTAAAGGTATGCAGCACCACATTTTACGTAAATTTTTACCTTAACAGGTGCTAGAAATGGTATCTTTAGAAACTATTTAAACTTGAAATAAAAAAAAATAGATATGGCCTTTATAGTGTGCTAGGAAAAAAATTAAGCTCTTTTACAAAAATATAAGGCTTTATAATGAGAAGAAACATTAATTTAAAATATACTAGTAAGATTGTTTTCCCTTTTCAATAACACTTATAACTGAATCGAGAAACTATAATAAAACCTTACACCTAGAAAATTAATATTGTAACTAAAAATATGAAAAATCAGTATACTATAAAAAAACTATATCATCATGAGATTTGACCATAGATTAATTAGTGCCTAGATTTGAAGTTTTTAATTACATGAAGTAACTTGTTTTTATGAAACTTCTTTATATTGAAATGTGGCTCCAGCTTCCTTGATCAAATAAATAGAAAATAGAGCCCGAGGGCTTTTTCTGAAGCAACATGAATGTTCTTAGGAACTGTTCTTTAGGGTTCTCGGCAATGAGCAGTGGGCGCCCGGTGATTGTGTACTTGTGAGAGGGCAAACGTACCTGACTCTGGAGGGCAGCAGTGCCTCTGTGGTGCAGGTGTTCAGCAGCCTCTGCGTCGAAGTGATACATCCCTTTATTTTCTTCAAAATGCTTTTTATATTCCCACTAAAAAACAGAACACGAAAATAAAGTTATAATAAAAGAGATTGAGGAGTATGATTGAGACTTACAAATGTGTCTGGGTGTGTGTGGCAGCTCACATCTATAATCCCAGCACTTAGAAGGCTGAGACAGGAGCGTTGGGACCTTGGCCCACAGAAAAAGACTGTCTCAAAAACAAAGACGGCTTTTAGGAATGCAAACAAAATACAAGCCAGTCGGAGCTACAGTGCTATTATGGAGCCTGTCTATAACAGCAGCACGGAGGAAATTTCTAGGTGGTCATTGGGAAGAGCACATGAAGCAGTCAGGACAACTGGCTGTAAACCCAGCATGAAGGGATGTTCACTGAGTGGCAATGCAAAAGCTGGTGATGAGATCCCATGGATCATGAGCGAGCAAGGTGGGATGAAACATAGGCACTGAAGCCAGGCATGTTAACACACATGTTTAGGAGGCAGAGGCAGGCAGATCTCTGTGAGTTCTAGGCCAGCCAGAGCTACATAGTGAAGCACTGTCTCAAAGAAATTTTTATGTATAGAAATCATTTCAACTGTAGTGTTACATTTTCCATAGATGAAGGCATACTGAGCTGTAGAAAAAGAATAGAAAAGGAATGGAAAACTTGGTAATGGAAGAGGTCCAACATCAAGGCCTGGGTGCCCAGGACCATGTGTGGAGTGAGGACCACAGCTGTGCCTCAGGGAAGGTGAGAGCTTCATTCTACAGAATCAGTCCTCCCAAGACTAGAATCTGCAGATGACAGAGACCTCCCTGTTCCCAGCACAAGAGGCAAAGCCTCTGCCATGAACAACCTGGGACCTTGGGGGGAAGGGGCTGTAGGGACTGCAGTCATTCAGAGAAGACTGCAATTCCTGCCCAACATCAGGAACTCCTCCATCCTCCAAGCTGCTCCACCATCAGCCCACCACCAGAGGAATGTGGAACCCTGACTCACTGCAGGGAACCAAAGCTCCTGCTCTTGTGAGGGGACCATAGCTCCAGGTCACAGGAGATGACCACAACTCTGGCTCATGGAAGGGACCACCGCTCTAGTTTCCAAGAGAGCCACAGCTCCAGGTTCACTGTAGGAGGTCACAACTCCAGCTCACTGGAGGGGACCATATTAACTGTGACTTGAATGTAAGAAGGTAGTACATATTCCTTTACTGAGTCAAAGTCCAGGACTAACAAAGCCTAGGGAATTATATCCTAAATGATGGGTACATACTACAAATTGGCTAAAACAAAATGTATTTGAATTAAGAACCTGCAAATGCAATTTCTAATACATGGACTTGGTTTTCCATATATAACAGTCTTTGTTGCCGCCTAGTGGAGGTTAGACAGAGCAACATGATTTGTACTTTTTCAATTTATGTGACATTACAAAAGATTCTGACCACTATGAAAGGTCCATTTTCCTTGGCGAAGTGTTCCTTCGGGGATTTAATTCTCAGTGCTGCGCAAGGCCCTAAATTACTCATTGCATGCTACACACTATGCATTAAAATTTTGCTTCTAATTCATCGAGACATTTAGAGATCTTTTATAAAACAGTTATTTATAACAAACTGACAGTTAGCTTTGGCAAATATCTAATAAGAAATCAAGAGGCCTTTACAGATCAAGAAAATTTCAATTCTCTTTACACGAACACATAAAAGGACGCTATTCTAACATGCAATAAATTTAAGCCGATACAGTATTACACAATTTTAATAAGTACATGATTCAGAGTGAGTTAAACTTCCTGACCCACGTGAGTGATCCAGTCATTCAATCACAGTCTTTCCGTGAACAATGACAAAAATAAGTAACATGTGACTGTGCCTGGCTCTCTGCTGACGACAGAAACGATGTGTATTAAATTGTGATTTTTCTTTTGTTATTGTAAAACACACATCAACATTTTGAAAATAAATATTGCGTGTAAGCAGCATGCATTCTTCCACTACCAAAGTTTCAAATACCACCAGGACAGTCTTGCTGGCTTATTTACACACGCATCCCCACGACCCCGAGTACTGATGACTAGGGGACAGGCAAGGGCAAACACTGCTGCAAAGCTCAGAACTGGATGCCTGAGACTAAAGAAAGAAGAGGGTGCAGAGGACAGAAAGACCAGTTTTAGAAGCATGTGTGAATCGTGGGAAAAACCACGAAACTGGAATAGACATGCAGGGTCAGTGGGATGTGTATACTGGGTGTAGGGTGAGGATGGACCACCCAGGACAATGACTTAATTGTCCTAACACCACGAGCTGATCTGAGCCTGTCCATAGTCTTCAAACCTTTGTTTCCTGCTCAACACACTGGACACAAGAGCACGCTGCTTTTGATCCAAAGACCAACGTTTTCTAAAGTAGATTAAAACCAGTCTCTGCAAGTATAAACTATTTACATACAGTTGGCACCCTAAGAAGGACAGTGGTGTGCTATGCAAGAAAACAGACCTACAAATCATGACTGGCATTTCCAGAGTGCTGGAGTCACCTACACACACTTCTAAAGATTAGATGAAGCTATGTGATAACTGAAGTTTAAGACCCAGGCTTTGGCCTGGCTTCCCACTGATGACTGTGGGTGAACCTTCACTATTTTTCTTTCTTTTCTTTCCTTTTTTCCTTTTTCTTTTTAGACACGGTCTCACTATGTAGCGCTGGTTGATCTGGAACTTGCTACGTAGACCAGGGTCAACTCGGACTCACAGAGATCTGCCTGCCTCTCATCCTGAGTGCTGGGATTAAAGGTGTGTGTCACCACTGTGTAAGGCGTCCAACATGTACTCTTCATCTGATCTGGGCCTATTCTGTAAGTAGGATACTTTTGGTGAGTAGTGACTAGGTGGGTGATTACTGAAATATGTGTGGAAATAACTTGAGGTCAAATTAGATTTGGTCATTACCATGCAGGAAAGTACAGAGTAGAGTCACCACTAACCTAGGGTATCAAGAACTAGGGTCCAGATGCCCTAAGGGTGGGCACAGTATCCCAGAAGGCTGGAGTTGTGAATTGTGAACACAAGTATTTTCATTGGTACATAAAGCACTTCTCCTGACCCTCGTGCTGCCTTGACAGATAATACCACAAGAATAAAAGCATAGCGGCCATGCAGGGTAAGCATCTTGGTGATTTAGCTTCAGAGAAAGTATAATTTAAACTAAGAAAGACTTTTTCTACTGAGGACCTCACAGACGGGTACATACATATATCTATCAGGCTGGTCTGGCTTGGATGAAAAAGATCCCAACTGGAAGACATGAGCATCAAGTGGCTTCATCCTGACACAGATGAAGAAATGGGAGGAGGCAAGACAGAAAGGAGCTTGCTTGTACCAGTACTTTAACATGTGCTTGCATTTATGGGATACTGAACGGCTAGCAAGAACATACTTTGGGTGTTACTTTCTTCAGTATGAGCACTGATAAACTGCCTGTGCTCCAGTAAATAACCTCTCACCTCGGATGGGCATGGTGGCATGAGCCTTTGATGCCAGCCCTCAGGAGGCAGAGGCAGGCTCTCTGTGAGATCCAGGCCAGCCTGGTCCACATAGTGAGTACTACTAGGGAGACCCTGTCCAGAAAAACAAAACAATAACCTCCCACCCATATTCATGCAGGCCACCACAATGGAACTCAGTGAATCATACACACAAAATGACAAGAAACTAGGAGGAGGGTTTGTTGGGGAAGAGAAGGGTTTCAGTGAAAGAAAGAGGTGGATGTGGATGAGGCAGAGTAATAGGGAGTGAGGGGCTAAACTTCATTATATACATGTATGAATCTGTCAACAACTAAAATGTACATTTTTATAAAGAATCCCTTTATAAAGAGACAGCATTGGCAGGATTTGTACAAGCAGGTGGCAACTTTTCAACATGTTAGTTACAGGGGGAGGAGAGACACACAGGCACTAAGGTAGCAGATGAGCCCAGGAAAACGGCAGCCATGCTCACTACAGACATCTACTCTACAGGCCACCAGATAGCCCACTTACTCCACTGAGCATTTTGCTGGCTTTCAGAACATGGTCTAAAAACAACAAATTTGGGAGATCTGAAACTGGTTTGTGCATAGTTTGAGCATCTTTCTTGTACTGCACCTACAAAAATAATGGGAACAAAGACCATGGAGGAGAGAGACACGGGCATCTATATCGTGGCCATTACTATTTTTCACACATCTTAACCGGGCGGGTAGTACAGAAGGGAAGAGGACGCATAGGGAACCACTAGATGGTGCTGACTCACTACAGAATGAGTGAAAAAGTTATTTATGGGCTTGAAAACATTTTAATTGCTTTTACAGTTTATATATTTGAAAAAGGTGATGTTAACACACTCCCGTAATTATGGTAAAAACTCTACTATTGATAAATAAGGAGAATGGTCACTTTATTCTTTCCGTACTGCCACAAAATTATTTCAATTTTTACTTTGCTGTGACTATAGGCTTTCGGAGTTTTTCATACTGCAGTCATATAGGTTTGTTTTGTTTTTATTTTGTTTTGTTTTAACCAACCGTTTTGAAATTTAATACTGGTGATAAGAACAAAATATTAATAGCAAACAAAATTCAAAAATTTTGAACACTTAGGTATTTTTTTCTGTATATTATATATGTGAAGTGATCTTCTTAACCCTAATTGTTGGGTATTTTATTCCCATTTTACAGATGAGGAAATTGAGGCACACCCTAATATTGAGTGCATAATATTAAGTGGTTGAACAAGATGAAATACAGGTCATAGGATCCCAATCCTTGAGCTTTCAATGCTAGATTCTAGATTTCCCTAAATATAACTTCTCTTTATTCTCTTTACATCTGTACATACATTCAAAAGCAATCAAAGAAAAGAGAAAGAATTCTGATATTCCCAGAGGTCCTCAAAGACAAAAATATCCACTTTAACTTCCAGAGACAAATGAAAATTGATTAATAAACATAAACAACACCATCTAAACATTAGCAAAAACAAAATAAATCCAGTTGAAGGAGATGAAGAGAGCTGAAAGGTTGGAACGACCATTGAGGCCAAGGTTTCTGTTTTTATGATTCCTCCTTCTGGTAGGAATGTAAAACATTATTTATCAAATGAATCCTTAAAAACATGAAAATAAATCTTATTAAGAAGTATATTATAGCACTTATATAAGGGAAAGGAAATTGTAAACCATTACCAGGACAATTTGTGAAAAATTTCTACAATAAACTACCATGTTATCAGGTAGAACATTCTAATAAACCCAATTTCCTGGGCATAATTATGTGTTAATTGCTGTCCTGCCTACTAATTTGTGATAATACACCCTTTTTTTTCCTGCAAAACTCTATAATCTATTTCTACTCTTGATCAGACATAATAATTTTATTCATAATACTCTTCCTACTTATTAACTAATTAGTAATCAGTAACCATTAATAGCAAATTACAATAATATACTTTCCTCTAAAAAAAAGCTTCAGGAAAATATGCTTCAGTGTTTTCAACTACAAATTATGTGGAAATTACATGATCTTGATTAAATATCAGTAATTACAACACAGTGAGTTCCATGAAAACAAGACTCAAAAGATATCGAAAACAATTTTCCGTGAATTACGACTTACGTTACTTGCCAGTGTAGTCGCAAGCTGGTTTTGCCTAAAAGAAGCGCTCTCCAGTGGATTGTAATGGTGGCTTTTCCCCTTCATTTCATTATCAAATTTTTCTTTATATTTAACCTAATATAGAGGAAAGAAACTAAATCACACATCTCAGTTGAAAGGTAACACATTTGATTTTTTTAAAAGAGATCACATAAAAACTACCTTTTAAACGAATAGCAACAAAATTTAAATCCCCGATATTCATCTCTCTCCATAAAGCTCAATGACGCATTTAGAAAATTTTAATGTGCTACTGGAATATTGATCATGGATGCAATTAGGCATGAACTCAAATTCTTTGCTCACGTGAATTATGCATTTGAAGTATAAAAGTTTTTCTATGTCAGTTGCCATTTCTGTACTCCTCTAATCCATGACCAATTAAAACTGAGAGCATACATACATGCTTAAGGCCTACTGTATTCAGAAAGTGGGTTGTCGGTACCAGAATTTGAATGTTAGTTTTCCTAAGGGGATTATTCCAAATAAACAGTATGGTTAGTCTCTATATTTCAGTCGTTCAAAAACTACTCAGGCATGGTGATGCACACCTTTAATCCCGGCACTCAAGAGGCAGAGGTAATGAGATCAAGGCCAGCCTAGTCTAAATAATGAGTTTCAGTCTAGCTGGGGCTATAGAGAGTCCCTGTCTCAAAAAAACAAAACAAAACAAAGAAACAAAAAAACAAAAAACAACCCTCTACTTTTTGGGAAATACATTTTCTGAAATGCCCTGGGTCTGCTTAATGTCATTTTTCATTTTCTCTGCTCCAACTCCTCAATTTATCCAGCAGGAAAACTTCAATATTCAGTCTAAAGTAAGTTTCTCTTTCTTTAAGTAGGCACAAAACAAGAAGGAAAGGACTATCAACCTACACAATTAAGTTACCTGAGCTGCTCCACTGCACAGCCCCTTGATTCATGCAGCCAGCAAAGGATGTACAGAATTCAAAACGAAAAAATAAGCTGTTTAGGGACTGGAGAGATGACTGAGTGGTTAACAGCACTGGCTACTCTTGTACAGGACCAGTTCCCAGCATCCACATGGCAGCCAACAATTGCCTGTAACTCCTGTTCCAGGGGATTCAATACCCTCTTCTGGCCTCCACAGGCACTGCACACATGCAGTGCACTTACATGCAAGCAAAACACTCATAAAATTAAATTAAATATTATAAAAATTAAAAATAAGCTACTTTCTTCTCTCATTATTTCTATGATCTTAGGACAATTTTTGCAAGATTGCAGAAAACAAATTTTTGTTTTCTTATAACATTCTCAGCACATTTATCCGTATACCTTAAGGCTCTGTCTTGCAGAAGTATTTATTAAACAGAATTTGGGAACGGCTATTTTCATGGGGCCTATCTTGGATGTCGGACTTCTTTAGAGAAACCTGCCATGTATCTATGACAAAGAGCTAGTGACATTCTGGTGGGAATTGAGCATCAAAGATGTGGTTCGAGATGGCTTATAGAAAATACTTTCTGTGTGTGCTCTAACTGAAAATAACTTTCTCATATTCATTTTGCCTGAAAAATTTACTTTAAATAATTGGCAAAACATCTCTAAAACAAAAAAAATTTAAAAATGATTCTTTTACATTTATTAAATCAGAGACAACAGCACAAATATAAAACATTTATATTTCTTTCACTACTTCACACAAAATCTGTCATCACAGCCAAGATCTTTGCTGCCTGTGCCTCTCCATTTTACCTCTTTATAAATTTTTTGAATTTTTGTGCATTTCATAGAATACATCCTGATCATATTTAGAACCCCTATACAGGATGCTGTGCATTCCGTCATATATATTAAGGTCTATCAAGTCAAGTTGTGTCCCCAGATGTCCCTCAGAGTGAGTTTATCCACTGGACCCTGGTCAACCTATCTATCATCACTCCCTTAAAGAAGACCAACCTCACCCAGCAGTGATCAGCTGCCAATAGTTTCTCAGCCAAAGTTGGAGCTTCTTACCCATTTCCCTGCTTCTATGCTGGGTTTTTATCTGGTTTGAGCTTGTATGGATCTTGTGCACGCTGTTACCATTGCGATAAGTTCATATGAGCAAGTTCCTATCTACCTGGAAAATGGTTTCCTTATGATCATGACCACCCCTGGCTCTTATAGTCTTTCCACCCCCTCTTCCACAATGGTTCTTGAGCCCTGGGTGGCAGAAGTTTAATATAGGAGCCCTATCCAGGGACACGTGTCTTATTCTCTCCATTCTGACCAGTTGTGGTTTTCTAAGTTAATCACTATGCATGAGGAAGCTTCACTGCTGAGAGCTGAGAGATGCATTAGTATTCTCTCTGCCCCATGTTCTGCTATGTTCCATGAGCTTTAGGTATACAAGTTTCATTGTAGATGTGTCACTTAGGGATGAGCATCTCACAGACACTTATTCTCTGTTTGGCCAGTTGTGAAACTCTGTAATAGTCTCCATCTGTTGCACAAAGAAGCATCTTTGATGACTGATGAGAGGTATACCTCTCAGGCTAGTCCAAAGGTCTCAAGTAGGATGAGCTGGAGGAAGCCTAGGCCCCAGGTGGGGATGGGGACAGTGTGGGGAGAGTCTAACTAGCTAAGCAGAGAAGATGTGAATCCTGGAGCAGGAGAATCTGATTCTACCTCTTGCTACAGTTCATTTCATTATGTTTAATGACTGGTCTTGGCTCTCCTAAGTCTTTGGTCCTTTTAAAAGGTATTCACTCAACAAAGACGGCAAGTTTTTTTTTTTTTAAATTTGCACCCACTTAACCAGTGCCTCTTACTCAGCCAGGTTCACCCTCCTGCTCCCCTGTCTTAGTCAAAACCTTCTCCCGGCCAGCCACCTTACAGCAATTGCTTTCAGGCAGTGGCTGTTCAGCTCTAACCAGGAGATCAGCTGTGCAAGGCTGCAGGGCACCAAGTTTCCTTTCAGTTATCTGCATCCACAGCTAATGTCTGAGCCTCAGTTCATAAGTGAGAGTACATTCCATGGCTTTTGCCTGCCTGTCTTGTTTCCTTTCTGTTAGCATGATGAGCTACCTGGACAGAAGCAACTTAGGGGAGAAAGGGTTCACTGTCTGGCTTCTAGTTTATGTGACAGTCCATGGTTGCATTGAGTCACATCTGCAGGTGCTCAAGACATCTGGTCACTCGCATCCACAGTAAAGCAGCCAGGAGCAAAGGATGAAGGTGTGCTTGCTGTTTGGCTCACTTTCTCAGTGCTGTACGGTCCAGGATCTGCCCAGAGAATGATCCTGCCACAGTTAAGCTGGGTCTTCTCACATCAGTCAACACAGTCCAGATAATCCCCACAGGCATGCCCAGAAGCCCATCTCCCAGGTGGTGCTAGACTGTCAGGCTGACAATGACCAGAGAGTCCTTCCTACTGTCTTTGTGTTCCCAGCAGAATTACATAAGGTGCAAAGGCAATGTTTTGGATGGTGTGACTTGGAAGTAAAAATGACAGCTTATCAGGTTAAGCTTGCCATTTGCTCTTCGAAGTAAATGCCCATTTTTGAAAAATAATCACCAATCTCTAGCTACACCATTCAGATACTAATATTGAACCGGTGTTGTAAACACCGGTAGCCTAAGTGATTCGATTTCAAAACATCCCTGTGGAACCAAACACAGGAGCTTCCCTCATTAATTAACTAAACACAAAATAACATAGCTGCATTATATAAAAGTACTTTGATCAGGGGTTGGAGGGATAACTTAGCGGCTAAGAGTTATTGCTCTTGCAGAGGACCAGGGTTCAGATCCCTGCACCCACATGGTGGTTCATAACTATCTGTAACTCCAGTTCCAGGGGGATTCAATGCCCTCTTCTGGCCTCCGTGGGCCACTTACACACATGCAGACACACATTAACTAAATACATGTTCAGCATTCTGCTCCATTTTCAATCCACAGTTCACAAACCTGACTGTCTGCCACCCCATTCACACTCACATCTCCCCAGAGGTCCCTGCAATGTTTGGTGTTCACTGTACTGTTTACCCAACCACAGAACAAAGCATACCTTTCAGTTATCAGATCACTTGAGAAAAGAAGACATAAGGGTTGATTATAAGATAAAAGGTTACTCTTTATACCTAGATCCATTTTTTGGAAATAACTGGTTATATACCAGTAATGAGGTTACTTTGTTTACACTATGAAGAGTATACCTCGTAATTCTGGTATTCATTACTTTCTTAAAAATACACCAGACAGATATAGATCAAACTCCTAGAACTTTTCCAGAGAATTGTGACCTCAGCTAGACTTTAGGAAGCCCACACTGAGACTATTAAGCCACACTGATATAACTCAACTAACCCTTAAAGTACCTCTGGACAGCAGTGCCACCATGGGGAGAAGCCTGCGTTCTAAGCTCACCAGTTTTTACCACTCAGGTGCTTGGCTCCCACACATCACCTATGGCTCAGGCTCACCTACAGTCAGCAAGGATACAAAGCACAGCCCCGGGGGCTGAAGAGATGGCACAGCAGCTGAGAGCACTTGATGTTCTTGCAAAAGACCTAGGTTCAGGTCCCAGCATGAAGAAGGTGGCTCACAGTAAGTCCAATTCCAGGGAATCTGACACCTTCTTCTGGCCTCCCCAAGCACCAGGCTTACACATGGTTCATATACCTACATGCAAGCATTCACTCATACACATAAAATAAAAGTAAAATCTTTCTTAAAAGATGTCAGTTCTTGGATCCTGAATGATAACTCTTCAGCATAGCCACATAAACAAATGTTTGGAAAGAAGTGGAAAATTGAGGAATGGACCTAATTATCACTGAAAACCACACAGACACCGTATGTCTAAAGGTATCCATTTTCTTCAATTTTTGAATAAAATTTAACCACAAGTGAGCAGGGGAAACTACATTTTTTTAAAGAGAAAATTGGAATTTAATAATTAGAATAACCAATGAACAAAAGAAGCTCGGAATAGGAAGTAAGACCTCCGGGAAAGACACTGAGATGTTTAGTGATGTTTGCGTATCTTGAACCATTGAGGTTTAAAATTCAACATTAGGCAACAGGGATCAGATAATTTGTATGGTGGGACGAGGATACCTACCTCCAGATCTCAGTAAGGTATGGAGTAACTGTCCAAAAGCCATGAAGAGATTAATGGCAGAGTGCCTCAAAAAGGAAAGAGATGAGGGACCACTCTTTCCCCAAATTCTCGCCTTTATTGAGGTGCTGGCTGGCTCATTGCCAAAAATTCACCGCAGTGCATCAGTACATATTTTTAAATAAAACTCATCATAAAAAGTATCAGATTTTAAGCTTGATTTTACACAAAATGCCATACACCCTTCTCCTTCCTTCCTTCCCTCCTTCCTTCATTCTTTCCTTCCTTCCTTCCCTCTTTCCTTCCTTCACTCCTTCCTTCCTTCCTTCCTTTCTTCCTCCCTCCATTCCTCCCTTCCTTCCTTCTCTCCCTCCCTACTTCCTTCTGTATTTTTTTTCTTTTTCTTTTGATCTGATATCTGGGATTAAACCCAAGGCCTTGAGTGCTCTTTTTTTTTTTCTTTACAAAGCAATATCATCCTAACTTTGTATCAAATGTAAATAATCCAGAGAAATTTTGTTTAATCTGTCTATATATTTATTAACAACGTAATCAATGCTATTCTACAATGGTATACCCAAGACCACAAAGCCCTTGCCAATGAAACCTATTGTAGGGTAAGTCACTCAAATTGATATTTAACACATACACACATATATGACCAACACAAACTGTAGCAAGGATGATAAAGAACAGAGAGATCCATTCACATTGGCAACTCAGGATATGACATTTAAGCTGATGCTTGGGTATGAGGAGGTTGGCAGAGTATGTGTTTGCCAGGAAAGAAGAATGGGAGCTTTGCCAAGCCAATTAATACCCTTCACAGTTTAAGGACACTGTTTATTACTAAATTTTTATAGCAATCCATAATGGATCTTCTAGGTTTTAAACTCACTCTCATCAATATAACAAATGTAATTTTGTAACAAGTGTGAATTATTGTATACAGATTGGTTTTCCCTGATACCAAAAAACTAAACTAAGAATTTAATTCATTCAGCATGTAGACAAATTCCAAATAATAAATTCAAATGATATAAGAATATATTAACAAATGAACCACATTTAGATCTTTTAAGTTGAGGACTTCAACAATTAGTGCATTTACATTTCAGGTGTACATTAACTAGTTTGTCTTGGCACACGAGATTTTACTTTATTGATTTTTTAAAAATGATCACATCACACATGTATGTACCATCCCAATTTAAAAAGGGAAAGTTGTGGCTAAAGAAATGGCTCAGCAGTTAAGAGCAAGTACTGCTCTTGCAGAGGACCCAAGTGTGGTGCCCAGCACCCACGCTGGGTAGCTGATAACCATCTGTAACTCTAGCTCCAGAGAGATCAACATTTCGGGCCTCCACAGACACTTGCAGTCATGTGCACATACCCACATACAGACACACACACGCACACGCACACATTGAATTAGAGAGCTAAACTGGAAACCCAAAACAGGACTGAGCCCTCCTGCCCCTTCAATAGCATTACTGAGGATGCAAAAGGCCTCCATAGGCATTTTGGGCTTTCGTGACAGTGTTGTCCATGCCTATCCACACCCTCTTGTACACTTGAAGCCTTCCAAGGCAAAGTTGTTTTAGAAGAGAAAGTCTCGCAAGCTGTAAAACAGCATGCGGCACGGTTACACTCGAACACTGATCATATACATCCTGTCTCTCTGCTTCCCCCATCTGTCATAGTCAGGGAGACTTGATCATTTCCTGTGGGATTCTCACAGTCACATCCTGAGTGGCCCCTGGGACTTGCACCTCTCACAGAGGCCAACCTCCTTGCACAGTGCTGACACATTAACCTGGCTGCAGGAATGTTCTCTGCACAGTCCATTCTTCATCAAAATGTTCTGCTTGCTTATTTCTCATCTGAACGTGGAAGCTCGCTGATGACCACAGCTGAAATGGTGATAACGGTGTGTTCCTGCAATTGAACTCTAAAAGGTTCCCCCTGATTACATGTGGGAATCACCTTCTCTTTTTACTACCGTTTTGATAGGACAGGTTATTCCTAAAGGAGTTGGGTGTAGCACTTAGCATTTACAGGCTGAAGAGCTGAGATGGTTGTCAAGGATGGTGGTATATTATGAAATCATTTAACGCCACTGAACCTCAAATGCTTAAGATGGCAAATGTATGTTTATTACTAGAAGAAAAATGAAATATGCATACATATTTAAAGGAATACATTATTTCTACTCTGTTCTATAAGTAATGTCATATGGTCAAAATTAATGCAGCATTGACCCTTTTCTCATTAAATTCCTGTTTATAGCCATAACCATACCCCTCTGCTCAGAGACCCCCCACGGTTGGACTTTTGTTCACAGACACCCTCCTTCTTCACTTGGGGCTTTCCCTTTAAGCAGATTTCTCTCTCCCTTAAAATCCAGCCTCGTGCAAAGCTACCTCCTACTCAAAACCTTCTTGACTACATGGCCTTCTCCCCAACGCTAAAGAAACAGAATGCCGATGGGTACAAATGGCAGTTCCTGTTGATTTTGTTGGCATTTCCTTTTCTACCCAGTTTGAGCATCTTTTCACATGATTACTGGCTATCAGCACCTGCTCTCCATGGAATGCCTATTTACCTCATTTCATTTCCCCTTTTTTCTGTTGGGCTGTGAGTCATTTCTATTTCTATATCAAAGAAGATATGAATATTATATATTAAAATATTCTTATGTGTATTATAAATCCTCTTTCAAATAGTTAAAGATCATTGTTCTTCTTTTTAAGATTTTAAAAAACAATGTTCATCTCCCCAATCTGTGCAAACTCTATAATTTGTTTATTTTATTCAGCTATTTGATTTGATCCTAATTTTTTAAATATTTTACTTATTATTTTTATTTTATATGTATGTGTGTATTGCCTGCATGTAGGTAAGTGCACCCGTATCATGCAAGGCCTGCAGAGGACAGAAGAGGCTGTCGGATCCCCCGGAACTGGAGTTACAGACAGTTGTTAGTGGCCATGTGAGTGCTGGGATTCGAACCCAGATCTTCTGCAAGAATAGTCAGTGTTCTTAACCACTGAGCAGTTGATCCTAATTTTTGAGAAGCCAGTTTGGATTTCAGTTCAAACTGCATGGAGATTTAATGTTAATTTTGGAAGAGTTAACAGGACGCTGATGTAGAGCACTGAGAGTCTCAAACCAAAAGCCCTGTGCATCTTTTCATTTTTAGATTTATTCTGTGTTCTTTAGTCAGATTTTAGATGTTTCACAATTTTCATCTCTCCCTTTTGATATATAATGTAGTTATTTTGCAATGTAAGAAATGTATTTTTTTCCAAAATTGAAAACTATAAATATTAGCTGGGTAGGATGGCACATGCCTTTAATCCCAGCACTTGGGAGGCAGAGGCAGGTAGCCTTCTGTGAGTTTGAGGCCAGCCTGGTCTACATAGTGAGTTCCAGGCCAGGTGGGGCTACAGGGAGACCCTGTCTCAAAAAGATCAAAGAAAGAAAACTATAAATGTGTAAAAATTAGTTTGTTAATATTATTGTTGATTCTGTAAGTCTTACTTTTTCTACTAAATAAAGCTAGCTATTTATTTACTCATTTGCTTACTGACTTGAGTTTTTCAAGACAGAGTCTCAGTATGTAGCCCAAGTTAGCCTTCAACTTGAAATCCTCCTGCCTCAGCTTCTCAAGAGTTGAAATTACATGCATGGCCACCACATGCAGCAGCAGTTTGAATTTCTGTGTAATCAATGTGTCTTACTATTCTGTTACAGATTTTGAACCTCTGGTCTTGTTTAAACACAAATCTATCACCCTTGTGTGAGATACAGTGAGAAAGACAGACAGACAGCCACGCATACACACATGCACGCGCACACACACACAGCCCTGAATTTTCTTCTTAACATTTTAGTTATTTATTGTTTATACTCCAGCATTTGCTTTTTGTTTTGGCATTTATTTGTTCATTTGGTTGGTTTGGCTTTTACTTAGAGACAGGGCCTCACGCTACAGCCCAGGCTGACTTCAATTCTCTTGCCTCAGCCCCCTGCATGCTAGGATAACCGGTGTGTACCACTCATATTGTTAATCCACCTGGGACTCACTTTTGTATACGGTTACATTTTATCTTCACCATGAGGGGTGGCCCTTACAACTGCGCAGTTTATTAATTGACCTAACTTCTTCCCACTGACTTGTGTCAACATGTTTATCATGTGTTAAATTCTTGGACATTCTGGAGTCTCTATTCTGTCCCACTGATTATTTCGCCTCTCAGTGTATTCTGATCTCATGTTGATTTAATGCCAATGGTTTTCCATTATCTCATGGAGACATAGAGCTTCAGTTCCCCTTTACTGATCATTTTCATACTGTTAAAGTCTACTGTCAGACAACTCATTTCCTCATAAACTGTTAAACAGCTTTACCCATATTTTAAAAATTCTTTTGGATTCAATTGAAATCGTATGATATCTGTATGACAATTATAGGAGAATTGAAATTTTAATCTGACTCTCAAGCTATACACTTCCCACGTCTGTATACTTTTCAGTTATTATTTTACCTACTTCAACTAGATTTCAAAGTTTTCTTCTTATGATGATGCTTATTTTCTTGATGAATTAAGCTAAACTATTTTTAAATTGATGAATAATCTTAGCACTGAGTTAAAAATTGTATGCATGTCTTCATTTCTATACAGGGAGAAACAGAATTATTTGGTATTGACTATTGCTGATTTCTGGAAATACAACATGGCTGAACTCATTGAAAGAGATTAAGGTATGAGCCCTGAGGGGGAAAAACAACTTTGTTTTGTTTTGAAAATTAAGCTTTTTTTTTTTCCTTTACTGAAATCTGTAATTGGTGCAAACTTATCTGAAATAGTTTCAGAAATATTACCTCTGTTTATTCTTGCAATTAAAGATATTATCTAAAATGAAATATTTGGCTCTGCTTCTGGAAACAAAATCTCTGAATAAAGTCATTGAAGGATCATCACTCTGAAGTCTTACCTGACTAGAAAGTTTAGAAGCTTCCACGGCGTGTTCAAAATCTGGTCTTCCGATGACAGAAGGCTCTTTATTCATTCTTCCTTGTCCCTTCTTATATTCTGCCTAAAATGAATAATGAGAAAATGCTAAATATCCCTACTTTCCAATAAAGAATTACATTAACATTAGTCAAAATATAACAGTTGCCTAGTTCATTTAAAATATTTCGCATATACATCAAATACTAAAATACTGACCGCTAAAACTGAAATTTATTTCAGAGTTTCTTAAGGAAATTCAACTTTTAGTTGTGAAACAATTATTTATTTTAGTCTCAGTAACCAGTCATAATTATCTTTATACTTGTTTATTAAAAATACCAGGGGCTTTCCTGGATAACTGAGACCCTGCATTCTTTAAACACGTACAATTTACGGTTTTGTCCATGGAGGACTGGTGTTTGATTAACATGCAGTTGAACTTAGTTTCATTATTGATTCTTAAGGTGCACTGACGCTGTGTTACTCCAATATCTAACTTGAGCAGTATCATCTTTTCAACCAGGATTTTTGTTGTATTTAAGTAGAATGGTGTTAGGTTGGGAGAGCACACAGAGTGAGTACTGGTGTAAGAGAATCAGCAAATTACCAGCAACAGAAAGGAAGTGGCTAAACTGAGTTCTCTGGGTAAAGATGAGGTGAGAGATTAGAGAGGCAGGAAGACTGACCATGGGACTTCCAAGTTGAGCTGTCTGAATGTGGTTTATACCCATAGAGTGTGCATCCTTCTAAAAATTATGCTAATAGTCAAGCTGAGCAGCGGCAAGGTGGGGGAGTGGGGCAGTACATGCACGTCTCTGGGAATTTACATAATCGAATAGATAACTTAGGACAAAACTGCTTCAAATAGATTGATTATTCTAGCTAAATTAATCATTGAACTACCAATGCCATGCTTTGTCTCCTACAAAAAAAAAATCATGTCTACACAAGATTAAGAAAGAGAAATTACATTGCTTATGATCTTGGAGACCTGAGTTGCCTTCTTGATATCCGGTCTGTCAAGCTCTGCTGTGTATGTATGGGTGTCCTGCACATCTTTTCTGTAACAAATCTGATCAGAGATCATTTTGATTAGAGAAAAGAATTAGTCATTTTGTTTAGTTACCTTTACATCCATAACATTATTTATCTTTGCCATAATAGTTTTAAGAACCTACTGGCCTTAAGGTACTTTTTATAGTTTTTGTGCACACCATTCATTTACGCAAGTACCTATGTCTCAGTGTATATCTGAAATAAATATACAGTATCTAATAAATAGAAGAACAAGAAGGGGACACAAAACCACCGTAAGGATCTTCTACACAGCACTATATGAATGCAATTGTCCCTAAGTGCTCATGTTTATATTCACACCCACATCCTTGGTCTTACCCACACACTCCCCTCCAGGGGATGCAGGGTGAGCTCAACACACAAATACAGGAAATGACTCCCTCGGGAAGGGAAGGTGGTGAAGCTGTAACACTCTCCATCTTCTACCCTGACAGCTACAACTTTCTCTTCCTTTTCAACTGAACTCTTCAGATGTTCATGCTTAGGAGATATTTATCTTCTAATAAATGCCATCGCCATGACTTAAATCTAGCGCAATAAAAACAATTGCATTAAGGAATCTCCTCCCTCAGAATGATTGTTAGTTATAAGCCAGAAACAGTATAAACAGTAGAGATTTACAGAGACAAACAGGCAAGTGTCGACATGTATTCCATATCATGCGGCTTGTTTCATTACCCTGACTGATGGATGGGTGGGAAGATCAGACCAGAACTGGTGTAAGGCATGATGGTCAACACCTACTCATCTCTCTCTACTTCTTGAAATTTGTCATGATCTAGAGAAAAAATTGCCAGGTGCTGGCTCTCTCTGGCAAGAGGCTGGCTGCCTTGTCTATTAGAGCACATTCTGCTAAAGTTATATGCAAAGTATATCATCATTTTTTAAAAACCCATCATTATTTTATTCAGAGCATAGAGAGATAGAATAGAAACTTATGAACTACTGGACACCTGTACAAAGGGGCAAAACATGCTCCTAATGTTGCCTGCAAACTTTCTGAAACAGCATCATACAGCATACTTGATAAGAATTTAGATTTCTGAAATCCATTTACAGTCCTCTGTAATAGAATTATGTTTAGTGACATATATATATATATATATATGTAGAGAGAGAGAGAGAGAGAGAGGAGAGTTCCCTCTATTAAAGGCCTTTGCTGCAACATCTGATATGTGTATTAATACTACTGTATCTTATTTTCCTTCCAGTGTTGCAGAGTTTTTAAAAAACTTCAATGGGTTTCCAATGCATCATATTCTCTTAGTTCAATGAAATGCTTACACACATTTCTGCCTACTCTTTTATGAACTTGCAGTTGCCTTACTACCAACACTACTTTTTTTGTTTGCTTGTTTGTTTGTTTTTTTGGTGTTTTTTGAGACAGAGTCTCCCTGTAGCCCCAGCTGGCCTGGAACTCACTCTGTAGACCAGGCTGGCCTCAAACTCACAGAGATCAGCCTGCCTCTGCCTCCCGAGTGCTGGGATTAAAGGTGTGCGCCACCACACCCGGCCCCCAAGACTACTTTTAAACTACGTTTATTACCATAAACCTGTCTAACAAATGAATACACCTTAAACACAATTAGTATAATTTCAGCAAGAGCATCTGCTTTCTTTGGCATTTATATTTTCGTAAGCTTTGCCTAAACGAGTAATTTCAGGCAGGTTTGTGCATACAGATAGTAAAGAAATGTAAAAATTAGTTGAAAACTGAGTTATTGTATTGGGTGAATTTTAAATCTTCAGGACGTTTTAAACAGGGCAATTTTGTTGGCTTCAAAAAGCAATGCACTCATCCACAAATGAAGGGAACTCAATTCCAGTCTACACCGTGTTAAACACAAGCTGTGTAAACAAAAAACAGCTCTCAGGTGAAAACAAACCAAAATTATTACCTACCCCCAAGACTAATGGTGTCTAAGTGACTGCATTCACATGAAAACCACCAGGAGGGAAATGCCTTTTTGTTTAGAAAAGAATGAGAGTAAAAATGGAAACCCGTACTTTTTGAAAAGAACTGCAATGTTTCAGAAATCTCAGCTTTACATGGGTTACCTAATTATACGCTGTTCCGCCTAATGACTGCGTGAGGAGAGGTGAACAGCACAAAGACGGCAGGAGCAGGACTTTGAATAGGGCCCCATCATCCATGTAAATTGCAAATTAGAGGCCAGCATATGTGACTCAAAACAAATATTAAGATTGACGTGAGCTGTACATTCAAACAAGAGGAGACCACAGAGCTGCACAGGAGAACAGGGCAGGAGCCTGCTCACCAGCTGGAGCGTCCACAGCACCACTGCTTGGGAATACACCACAGGAGAGGGAGCTTCCATCCAGAACGTTCTCAGGTACCAAGCACCTCATCTCAATCTCTGCAATGATGGCTGAATGTATATGGGGTGGTAGCATGGCTTCCTGGGTGGATTACTTGTCTCCCTTTGTCTACCAGCTTGCTAGGTTTGCGGGAATGTATCTGATGCTCTGCTGGTGGCTGCAATGTGTTTACATTCTATGCTGCATTGCATCAGAACCCAGGAAGAAACAGAAAGCCAAGCTACAGAAGGGAGGCTGGGGTGTGTGTGTGTGTGTGTGTGTGTGTGTGTGTGTGTGTGTGCTGAATCAACTCAAATTCTAAATGCTATACTGGCACAGTGGGCTGACCTCCTTATGACAATATCTGATCTACAGTTTCAAATAAGGACACTAAAGAAGAGATCACTGAGCATCATCAGGCCAAGGTGGGGATAAGCTAATGACCAACGGTTAACTTGATGTTATTTCCTTTAATGTTTTATTTCCAACTCTGACCCAAAGCACAGCAGAAAATAAATGAAGAGGAAGAGAAACAGGAGGGAGAGGAGGAAAAATGAGGAAGAAGAAGAAAAAGAAGCAGAAGCCGAGGGGAAGAAGGGGGGGAGGAGGAGGAGGAAGAGGAGGAGGAGGAGCAGGAGGAGGAGGAGAAGGAGGAGGAAGGAGAGGAGGAGGTGGAGGAAGGAGAGGGCAAAGGGAGGAAGGGGGAGGAGGGGGCAGGAAAGAAGAGGAGAAAACACGAATACTAGAACTAACCTCTAATTTAGACTATCATGTATCATAAGGCCTTACTCCCTCCTATGGGACTTTTGCACATGACCATATCTGTTAAGCCAAATTCCCTTTCTGTTCAATTTCAACCATGTTCTTAATTTTAAACTATTTGTTCTTAGTAATGAACGTTAGGAGCACTTTAGTAAATCCCATAAAGGAAACAACTGGAATTTTAATGGGAATGGCACTAAATTCTATAAAATGACTTAAAGAGAAAATGGTATCTCAACAATATTTCATCGTTTTCCTTAGAGAATATGGCATATCCCCCATTCCTCAAAATCTTCTTTATGCCTTTCAGTAATGATTATCACCGTGTTATAGTTGAAATGTGCCACTTTGTCTCTTTAGCAGTATATTAGAAGGCAGAAACTTGCCTGCAAATAGAGTCTGATCTCTTCTATAGGTACACCTCAATTTTATTCTAACGACTTGATGTCTTCCTATTCCTCCCCCTCCCTCCACTGAATTCATTTGCTGCTTTTTTCCATGTATCAGTTTGTTTTCCAGAAATGATTTCTTGGGAGTAGATTTATATTAATCCTTTTTTGTGTGCATGTGTCTATGTGTGTCTGTGTGTGTCTGTGTGTGTCTGTGTGTAGGTGTGCATGTCCATGCAGAGGACAACCTCTGGTGGTGGTCCCCGGGTACCTTCCACCTTTTGTTTGAGACAAGATCTCTCAATGGCCTGGACGACCATCACATAGGCCACTGACTGGCTCCTGAGCATCCAGGGATCTGCCTATCTCTCCTCCAATTTTGCTATTGTCAGTGTTACAGGAATGCACCATTGTGCTGGCTTTGTATATGGGTTTTGGGTCTCCAAACTCTGGTCTTTATCATTGTGAGGTGTCTTAGTTAGCTTTCTGTGGCTGTGATAAACATTCTCACACATCAAACTTGGGTAAGAAAGGGTGTATTTCATCTCATACTTCCAAGATATAGACTCTCTTTTAGGAAGTCAGACAGGAATGCAGAGAAGGAACCCAGAAGCAGCAACTGGAGCACGGACCACGGAGGAATGCTGTTTACTGGCTCGCTCCTCTGGCCTGAGCTCAGCCTGCTTTCTTACACAACCTAGGCCCACCTGCCTAGGGTGCCATCACCCACAGTGGACTGGGTCCTCCCACATCACTCAGCAGTCAGGAAGTGTTTCACAGGCATACCCACAGGCCAACCAATATGGGAAGTTCCCCAACTGAGGTTCCTTCTTGCCAGATGTGTCAAGGTGCTTTACTGACGGTCATGTCTCCATCCTCAAGTATCTTTATTTGGAAACTGCTTCTTACTCTTCCTCTGTGATTAGGTAGTTCTCCTGAATGCAGACGAACCTTCCTGATCCCAGGGGTGGCCATGGGACACAGGCCAATTAGGTACCAAACCTACTTAGAAACCATGATTAATGAAAGAGTAGAGTCAGGGCCAGAATCATCCAAAGGACCTGAAGGTGAAGCGTGAAGAACCATGCTTTTCTCTGGGATCAGCTGCTATAAATATAGTTTAGAAACAACAGCTATCAGCTTGAGTCCTCATAGACAGTAAGTCTAAAGTGGCATCTGACAGAAGTGAGCAGAGACAAGATACAGGACAGACGGGGACTTCTGGTGACAGCGTGAGGGCTCTAGCTCTAGTCATGTCCAGAGGAGGCTTGAACTTTCTAATTATACATGGCTCTCCATATCGATGGAGATTCAGCTGTAGATTGAGAATACCTAAAAGAGAAAACTCTGTCTATATTGAACATGTACAGACTGTTTTGTGTGATTAACCCCTAAGTAATACAAGGACTATTAATTTGGCACTTACATTGTTTACATATTATGAGTGATCTAGAGGTGATTTAAAATATGGGGAGGATATATGGAGCTCATATGCAAACAGTTTGTCATTTTGTATAAAATACCT